GTAAATGTGGTATCTGTGCAAAAGCACATACTGTATGCAGCACACACTCTGCTTTAGATTTAAACACTGTGTGGACACAAAAAGATCCCAGCTGTGCTTTCCTCTGAAGGCAAGTCTACCTGGAGGATAAAAGCACCCAAGTGTCACTGCCTGGGGGCTTTTATAACAGCAGAAGAGACGGGATGCTTTTGAAGTGAATGTTTACAATAAACACTAAGTCAAACCTGGGATCAGTGCTCCGTTGTCACAGCTGTGCGGCTGCTAATTCCAACAATGTTAAATATGCTTTCTTGCTTTTGTAGTGGATCCGTTGGAGGATATGACAGGAGATGGAAACATAAACAGTGGATTCTGGTCAAAGCGTGATCATTATGGCAGGAGGGATAATGGTGGAGCAGTCAAAACAGAAGGATACAATAGCTGCCCAAAGCTGGAAATGAGTAAATAAGCGGCCTAAACACTGCTGCTGATTTAAAGGTAAGTTGCTGATGAGTTGGAATTTAGCTGGGGAAGGTTGGGCTCACCCGCTCTGTGCATGTTGCCGTCGTCCTCAGCTTTTCCTCGATCTCCTTCCCAATCCTCTGCACTGTCACTTGGGTCTGTTTGATGGCTCTCTGTGCTGTGTGAAGCCTGCAGGAATAGAGGGAGAAAAAGTCACCATGCAGATCATTGTTTGGAACCACACGCTGGACCACACCAACAACCGCATGTTGAAACTGTGTTTTTGAGAGGCCGCTGAATTGACAGGATGCGTCAGTGTTATGACTAAAGCAGCAATTACACTGACTGTTTGGAAAGATTCTCCCGAATTATGATTGTCCCCATGTGTAGGAGTCTTTGTGCAGCGCATTTGATTTTTCTTGTTTACTTGGGTTGATCTTCTTCCTGAACTGTGTTTGACCAGACCCTAAAACAACAAAGTTCACAACAACATTTGAAACACTATTTTGTTCTAATCATCGAACCACTATATGACATCAAACGTTGCCCAATAGACCTGAACCCATCAGTCCCAGGAAAGGAAAACAACCTTCAAAAAGGACTAATCATGTATTGAAACCACAGAGACAGAGTTCCCCTGATACTGTCTCCACTGAAACACAGTATGGAACAGCAACACCAGGACACAAATGACAAGCAAACCTATTATTTAGACCATTAATCAGGGAGAGTTCTTCTCAAGTCCAAAGCCCAAAGAAAAGACAAAGCTCCTCAACAGAACCTGGGACTCCAACAACACTGCAGACAACAATCCCACATGACGGTAATGAGTTACAGGGGACAGACAAAAGGAGGGACCGGCCATAAGCTCTCAAACTGTCAGTGTGCTGTTAGATCTTCCACTTCTTGCTAAATGTCTCAATGTGCCATGAAAGTACAATTGCAAAGTAATGCACTTTTCTGTCTTGATGAATTGCTCAACTATTGGAATTCTTAGATAAAGACGTGATTAGCTCTTGTTAGCATATGTTTCTCTTTTTGTGAATAGATTTTAACTAATTATGTTAAGGCATCGTCACAAGATGACACTTACATACAGATACATAACTAGGTAAATACAAAAAGACAATTAAGGACAAGGGGTCCCTCGTCCAGTCCATCCCACCCCTTTTGCCATGCCATGAATATGATAGATGTGTACACATTGACATACCATGCCCACATTTTTAAACGTAACATTTCATTGTTTGCACTTAATTGGCAATGAATCCTCTTGTAAGCGTCTTTCCATATATCAAGGTGTACATATATCTACATTCCCATTTGACAGGAATGACACAACCAGATCAGCAGCTCTTCGATAGCCTCAAGTGTTTTTCTCTCAGCATTGTTTACAGATGCAATTGCAAGTTCTGAAAATAATACTGTAACTCGTGTTCATCTCTCTGAATATATTTTGCACATATTTCTGCACAGCCCACACCTTTCAAATATAATACACTGTAGCTTGTCATATATTCATTGTCCTAAGTTGTTTAGCTTTTTAGGTTCTTTTGTATATTTAAATTGAAATTTGGAGTAAATCATTTATTTATCATTTGTATGGTTATATTTTTGAGCCACTGTGTGTGTGTTTGCACCAACATACACACAAGCAAATCCCTTGTATGTGTGAACGTACCTGGCAATAAACTTATTCTGACTAATAGGTTCAGAAAGGAAGATACTGCCCCTGTTTATTAGGAGTAGAGGGTTTCCATCATGTTTGAATGATTTGTTGTTAGCACTTACAAAGTGGGTCATGAAGGTGATGTGAACAGGATGTTCCTTTGGTATGCACTTGCTTTGAGTCTTCAAGACATTCAGAGCGTTTAACAGGCGTCCAGCTCGGTGGGGTCATTTTACAAATCCTACGGGGGTTTTGTTTTGAAACTTGTCTTGAAACCTGGTGGATATTATTGCTTCTTGCAGGCAACCAGCCTGAACATAGAAATACATCTATCACAATGTAAATGCAGCTTTGGGGGGGGGGGGCCTTACAGGAAATGCATTGCCTATTTTCTGCCAACAAAAATGATCTGTGTCAGGTGACAGTGATGGCAGTTGGAGATAGTCCTTTGGAACATCAGGGCCGATCTGTTTTGACAGCTTCATCTGTTTAGGTGATTGCGATAGGAGAATCTGATATGGTCTTTTCCCTCGGGTGAGAATAGTTATGTCCTCCCTCCTTTTCACGCATGTCTGCCTCCTTATCATTCCCTTGGTCGTGGCCTAACACCTGCCCAGGAGTCAGGGGGGTCCCACTGCACAGCCACATTGGAGCAGCAGTTTCATCGCTGGGAAACTGTCCGGAAAACTCTTTGTCAAAAGCCGAGACAACTTTCCTTTTCTAAGGCATTCAAGGTCACCCTGCCACAGGAAGTTATGGCTGAGCCTGTGCACTCAACCCATAATGCCGATAAACATCAGAAAAACAATCGCATGTTCTCCTTTAACCGTGGCACTGGGAGCTGCAGGGGTGTCAGAGGAAAGATTCTTTGATAAAGAGAAGGCATCTTGGACATATCTAATAGGGGCTTTTAGGTGTAGTTGAACCACAAAGCTAAGTAAATATAACGATTTACAATAAAGTCAATAAAAATAGATTGAACTAAAGACCTTTCAATTTCAATTGTTCACAGTGCTTTCAGTGCAGTTGGAGGCAACAGCCTTGGCAGCCGCTTCTGTTTTCTGTTCATTTACCTTTGCTGATTATCTTGAAATAAATATTTACCACGGTTTACACAGTGTGTTGTGGTCCAGCATCTGCTATTTTCAAATCAAGGCTGCGAATGAATCAGTAAATGCAGATGTGTCATCTGGCTCACGCAGATAAGCCAGAGAAAGACCTGGGAGGTGAAGAGGACACCAGGGAAGACTGCTGTTCTTCTTGGCGAGAAACAAAAGGCAAAAACATCAGGCAGGCGTTATGTAGCACAGAATATGTGAGTGGTTGAAATGTTCACAACACTAAAGGTAGTTACGTCAAACCTTCCCATCTTCTTTTGTATCACTGCAGAGCTTTTCCTTCCAAATAAATGGAATCCAAAATCCCTTCTGAAAAAGTTGCTTTAAATATCAGCTGAATGAATCAATTGGTTCAAACTGAACGGCTGATGGCTCTTACCAAGGCCACATGATGAAATGTATTAGCAGGCCTCCAGCTGTTCGTCACATGAAGTGTGCCAAATGAACATGTCAAACAAACCTGGGTCACAGGAAACCAGAACAAAGACTAAAGAGTGTACTGAATGCATTTCCAGCAACCATTTCTGAAACACCACCGTTGAATAGGAGAGCCAACTTAGCAATTCAAAACAAGCCGATGCATTGTTTTGACAACACATGAAGCGTAATGTCCCACCATCACACCTCAGCTGGGGGCAAAAAAAGACAGCACCTCAATAGGAAAATCACAACAAACCAAACTGTCTAAATTCAGCCTGTATGCCAAAGAATACAAAACACATGTATCCCCTTGTTATTCACCTCACATCACTATTCTCTCCATTGTCACGGAATGGAAGATAAGATTGCTGGAGGTTCTTCAGCGAGTGCATTATGCACTTCTATTCCTCCAGGCTTTTGGTGGGGTTCTGCTGAGTTGCTATAAGCTATGTTTACATGAAAACTACAATAGAGTTTCAAAGAAGCTGAAGAGATCAGCAAGGAAGATATTGTTGGTCCTAAAAGGGTCACACACTCTGGAGATAATTATAGAAGTTTGGATTTCTAGTCATGAGTAGAAGCTCTTTTGCCCTTTGACTTACACTAAACATCTCTGTTAGTCGTGGTTACTGAAGCTGCCTTGTGGAGTAAGCCAAATACGACCCGATAGATGTATATCATGTAAAGCCTAGTGTATTTACTTTTTGGAGCCAGAAAACACTAATAGGATAAAGCTTAGTATTTTTTTATTTGAATGTGTAATGAACACTACATACACAAGCTATGACAACAAAAAAGAGCACTGCAAGGCAAGCACTAAAAAGCACAAGCAAAACGCACTAGAAAGTGAGAGAAAAAGAAGAGACGTGCGCAGTTAGTGAGAATGGAAGGCGGAAAAGCTGGGGGGAAAAGCATGAGCCTAAATAGAAGATGATCTCAGATAGAATCATATGTGTCAAAAAACATTTGGGAGGTAGACAGTTGAGCAAATAATAGAAGGGGTGTTGCAGGCCTACAGTACAGCCTAAACTGAAAAAACAACCTTAAATTAAGTAAATGGGGAAGGCTTTGATTGTGCCTAAATCCCCTCCAGAGGTGTGAAATGAAAACACAAAACCTCCACATCCATTTCTTTACAGTGACTTAGAGCTCAGACGGTGCGTTTGTTTCTGTAGTCTGGTTGCTGCTGGTGGAGTCCCCAGGGTCAGCAGAGACTCACACATACAGCTGCCTGGTTACACAGGACCACACCAGCATCGCATGGCTGAGAGGCTCAGCATCCAACCAGCGGGCCAGTAGGTCTGAGGAGTGCCTGCAGGGAGGCATTATCAACCCAGTAGCCTCTGTGGCACGATAGACCCCCCACAGAGCACGGCTCCTGTTGACACGTACGTACAGTACTTTCATACTTCACATTGGAGCATACAAAAGGAAATCAGGAAACACAGGCAACATATGGCTCTGATCAAGGGTGGAAAAGAACGTTTCCCCTCCAGAAGTCTTTGACAGGTTTAATCTGCAATGTCACAGTTCTGAACTGTGAAAGTTGTGCCCAAAGAACAATGTTTAGAATGTGTCACATGGGCCACTAGTAGAATAGACCAAAACGTATTAACATTGAGCATCTACAAGGCTATAATGTCATTACAAAAATTACTTTCAAGCACACAAGTTTCTGCCACTAACCATCTCTCAGCCAAGAAGAAAAAAAACAAAGCGGTGTCATTTGGTAACGTAGGGTGAGAACCTGGGAGTTGAAGTCTTCACCATCATTTGTATTTCTGCAGCTATTGGCTGTTAGGATTTCTTCATTGTTTATCCTTCAGGAAGCAGTTGATCCATACAGGTCTCTTCCTCTCCAAAAGAAAGCCGAGCCAGTGACTCGAAAACAGTAGGAAGAAGTGTTTCTAATTCTATGGGGACGAAGTAGTACTGGAAGAGCTGGAGCTAACTGCTAATATTTGCTCAGTTTTCTCACCCTTATAACTTAATATCGAGTATCATGAAATATATATAGGAGCAAAATGATCACCGGAGGTCTCGACTTCAAAAACCGCTTAAAGTGCATAAAGCAATTGCATGTTAAAAAGGGACAGTGTGTAGGACCTAGTGCCAGCGTTGCGTTACAGATGGCAAACAACTGAGGAACCCTCGACTAACCCCTACCTTTACAAAACTGCAGTAACAAGCTGCCAAGTGCTAAACTGTGGTAATGCTGTCGTATCGTTAAGGAACAGTCCAGGTCATTTTTACCATAACACAAGTTTAGCAAACGCACAATTCAGGAGATGGCTAGCGTTACCAGTTTTATAGAAATGTCCAGAGCCGCATGCCCTTTGGGTGTTTTGAAAGGGCTAGAGCCAGAGTGTAGTTTAGCTTGCAACAAGATATTGTAGAAACATGGGGGACTCCATGTTGCACCACCTCCAAAGTATCAATCCTGTTCAAGTATATAGTTAAAACAACCAATATTTAAAAATGTGGCCTAAAATGGGTTAAAGGTCATTTTGTGACTGATGTAACAACAGTACTGACACTTTTCAAAGGGTATGCATTACATTCAACCAAATGAAAAGGACCGTTTCCAGAAATGAGCTTGAAATGGACTTCCCTTGAAATGAGGGATTTCTCTAGGTTTTAATTGAAATGTCAACTCTTTTTTTGAAGCTCAGTTATGGGATTAAAGTGGTTGTTTCTCTGTTTCTCAAACATCAAACATTTTACTGGTAGGACAGAGGAACCTATTAATAGCGTCTACATCAAATATTGCTCAACAGCTGGATAATCTTCGTCCGTCACCGTCTACTTTTCTTTCTTTCTACCCAGAAAGGGGCCTAGCTCCATTTAGGATGTGGCTCTGGCTCTATCTAGGCCTGGAAGAGACAACACTTTGCTGATTGATGATCTGTGCTCTCCCTCTTCATCTCTCCATCTGAGATGTGTTGTGTTTGCTTTACTCACACAGACTATGGGTCTTTTAAAGCCGGGGCTAAAAAGCAGACTGTGAATCCGCTGACAAATTACCATCATTAATCAAGACCAGCGCATTCTTAGCAAAGCTGCCTTTATCCTTTTTCATTAAAACACAGTGGGAGACAGTTGGGTGGACATGCATAAAAAATACATAAATAGTCCAAAAGAGGCACAATAAAAATGAGATGATCCAAGGAGAATAACACTTTTCACCCGATTACATGATGAAAAATCCTTCATCATTCACGAAAACATGCAACCACGAAGTTCAGTAATCATTCAGTAAGTAAATGCACTTTGAAACGGGAAGCTCTCTGCGGGACAGAGGCTGAGTGGTATATATGGTTATGTACTACGTGGTAGGGTAATCCCTGTTGGAGTGTACAATATCTGATGAATCGTTCTACACTACCTAATCATAAAACCTGTGCATATGAGTGCACCAAGACAAGGACAAACAGTGACGGGTGAGGAGCTGCAGGCAGAGCAGTGTGTGGGAAGAGGGGATCAATGTAACTGTGTTAAACTCCACAGAGTCCCACTGGGTGTGGATAGAAGAAGAGGATGTGGAAGAAAGCTGCAATAATAAAAGAAGCGAGAGCAGAGGTCATAAAAGTTATGATTCAAACTGGGACTGTTTAAGTTCAGCTGGCTTTGGCAAAACTCCTTTTTCTGGGTAGTGTAAAGGCCTGTGATGCATTTATGTCCCCCTATTTCATTCTTATAGTAGCAACATCTCAGTGGAAAGCCTCTTAATGACAGGACCTTGATCTTATTTTGGAAACGTCCAATCAAAGCGTCTAGATTACATTGATTCAGTTAAAACCAGGTTTAATTTAGTTTGTAAGTGCGGGGGTAATTTAACAGGGTTTCCCTCTGGGGAAGCCCTGAGGATGTTGAAAGTGGTATTTACGTTGTTCCACGTTTAAATCTAAATGCGGAACAACACGGCCATGTTTGTCAACAGATGTCAGAAGTGCCTAGTGTTGTCTAAAGTTCTTAATTACTGCACCAGGGTTCCCCTTCTGAAAGCTACTTGCTCAGCAAACCTTTGTCTCCCCCTTGTGGTAGCACATTGTATTGCAGCTGTTTCTCACATTCAACAGAGTGTACTTTAAAATCAAATCAGAATCCCAAGTCTGACACTGGCCTGACGACAAGGTGCCTTTATAAAGATGTGCCGTTTAAAAAGATCCGTATACTTGACTCATCATGCCGAACAAATAAAGTCTAGACTAAAGACTAGGAGACTTTAAATAGAAAGTTGGTGCCTGTGAGAGCTTTTCTGATGAAGAATCACAAACTGGGCTTCCCTGTGGCACCATCTGCTGGAATATAATTGCTAAAAAAAATACATGCAACACACATAATAGGAGTTAGCATAATCACATGACCAATTACGCATCAAAAATAAATAAAAAACGTTTGGTTTAAAATGTAAAGCATGTTTTTTTCCCCAAAATGGACTGAGGAAAGGTTGCTGCATTCTGAACAAGGAATCCTAATGATGTGATAGGAAATCATGCAATCCATTGCCCAATATCACAAAGTACACATGTGTCACAGAGGGCTACAGTGTGTGCAGCATACCCTGCACACCCTCTGTCCTTAGACCTCTGTTTGAAGGTAGGGGAGAGCAAACAGGAGGATCCTTCTCCCAGGCACACAGACGTGTAATGGATGTTGGATGTATAGATTCAAACAGATGATCAAATGTCGATGAAACATGATGTCATACTGCTACATGGCATGACTCTTACCTGAGTAAAGAGAAAACGCTGTAGGAGTTCCGGACTGAACTCAGGTCGACCTGAAGCAGGCTGTTTTTCTTCCGCTCCGACTGATCCTGGAACAGCCACATGGGAGAGTTTCAGTGCAGAAGGCCAAACAAACAGCGAGCGATTAAAACTAATAAGATTAGGACTGCGTATTCCATTATAAGGCAGAAGCTCGGAATAATTGACAAAAGGCTGTACCTTATGATCAAAGTCAGCTGCATAGTAGCCATCATTCAATCCAAATATGATCTCATTTGGATTCCTGGATCGAATCTGTGGACAAAGCGAGGCAGAAGAGGCTCATTGCAGGGCCTGAGACCAGAGAACAAAGGACAGCGGGCATCTGGCTGAGCGTGAGACTGAGCTATCTGTTTACGAGCGTTGAAACTAGTCTCACTGCGAAAGAATGACAGTAACATAGTTCTTTAAATGAGTTTGCAATAGCTTAGTTTGATTTTAAGAATGAGAGTTTCAGTGTGAAAAAGTCTCAATTCAAAGTGCTTGTTGTTCAGTCCTTACACATTCCACACCAGCACACGTTTTACTGCTCATACCAGAGCATAGAGATCACAAAATGCAAACCCGTTGATCTCATTCTAACATGTCACCCTAATATTGCAACATAATGTCATTGCAAATAACTTGACCTCATCTGCTACACTTTTCCTTCGATGTATAAAGGGGGGAAAGAAAGTCATGCAATGCATTCCATTTTGATGACAGTGAACCTATTGCAATGCGTTTGATACAGTGGTCAAAATGGTTATTTACAGTTATGTCAAATATGTACCCACATACTGTATCAGCGTAATGTTTCGAAGTGAGTGAAACAAGTTGGGTTTTTTAACAAAAACAAACTGTGTATTTAATACAGAACAGAAAAAGTGAATAGATGCTTTTGAGAATATGGGATTTACTGAAGGGTCAAACTTTTGACTGCATCGCATCAAAGTAAAGCAGATCATTTCATACATCAAATGCATGTTTTTATATATTACTCCACCTCATTTGAAGTATTGACTCTTGCATAAGTTGCAAGGTTTTTCCTAATTGCCATTCACATCATCTTCAGGAAATGAACGGCAGACTCTGCTTTGCTGTGCTTTAGTAAAAAGGCAAAGCTCAGAGCTTGATGAACCTCATTTGATAGGATTGATCCCAACGCCAAAATGTAAAGAATAAAGTTCTGTTTTCAAAACTGAGAAGATTCAGTTGTAAAATAGTGTTGAAAAAATGTGCACCTTGTGTGTTTGATCTCAAATATATTTGTAGATAGTAAAACAACTACTTGTGCACACTATCCTTCACGTGCCTTAAAGACCATATGTACAAATGGCATCTGTAAGTAATGCTCACACCACTTCTGTATGTATCTCTTTGCAGCCTGTGCACAGATCAAACAGGGAGTATTATACACATAGCTTCTACTGTTATCCTTTCCATGTGCATGTTGCTGACCTGCTGTCCTGTGTATCTGAGGCCATCCAGATTGACCTTCCATTCTATGAGGAGTTGGAACTGTTCCTCTTGTCCTCCCCAGATCCGCACCACGAAGCAAGACACTGAGGTGTCCAGAAGGTCCGGCAGCATGCCAAAGTCCAGGCTGCGCCAAGTTGGATTCTGGCAAACACACATATAAACACACACGTGAGGATTGGCAGTACATTTCAACTAAGCTACCGTTGATCCAGACAGTTAAAGACAATACAAATCACTTTGAATGTGAAGAGTTTGAATTAAAACCTGAAATGAAGTGCGGGGTACCGCTGTCAAATTCAATATCCTAAAGGATCTCTTTACAATTTAAGTAATGTAATCATCCTGTTCTACCTTAATGTCTGAGCCCAACTACAGTTACTATTCTGTCCTTGAACTTCCAAGCTGACAGCACTAAGTACTGCTTCTATGAGGAACTGTAGCCATTTACATCATTCAATTATGTACCATTTCCCTTCATCAGAGACATAATCTCCTGCTCCTCGGGTCACTTTCAAGGACAGGCTGGAAAGGAGGGAATGTCAAAAGCAGAAGTGCAATTCACATGGTAGAAAACAGAACTAGTGAGAGTGAGTAGCGGAAGAAAAAGGGGCATAGCAGTTAGAATAAAAACAGGAAGACGGGAAGTGATGACAAGGATGTTAAATTGAACTGGAGGAAGCTGGGGGAGAAATGACAGGAGTCATGACTCCTGCAGCGCCTTACACACTATCTGTCTGCAGAGGAAACTCAAAGTACGCCTGGAAAGCAGCTTAGGTCAGCTCATGACTCGGCAGCAAGCCCAACATTTACAGCTTGCTCTGCTTGGCAGCTTCTATAGCTTTGTGCAGAACTGCATTGGCAAGCAAATAAGGGAAGTAACAGACAAAGAATCACAAGTCATTACACAACTGACACACCAGCAGACACCGTTATGTAAGTGAACGGCACATATACCATTCCATTTCTGTTGCAAGACTGTTTCATGCATTTTAGTGTACTGATGTTTGAAAACCAGTTTAAGTAAGAATATAGCAAAAGCACAAGTCCAGAGGTGAATCAAAGCGTGACCTGCAGAAAGGCAGCAGGTATAAATGCCAGCCGTGGCGTCAGTAAAATACAGGAAGTCTTCGGTCATGGTAGTGATGCGTATAATGACATCATCCTGATCCTCTCCCAGGGGCAGACATGAATACTTTAAAGGTCCATGTCATGGCCATTTCTACTGATCATAGTTCTATTGTTGAGGTCTACTAGAATAGATTTATACTGTTCAATGTTCCAAAAACACATTGGTTTCTCACAGCATCTCTGTGTAGCATGTGTATTCACTCTCTGTCCTACACGGCTTGTTGGAGCTCCTGCCCCCCCCCCCCCCCCTGTGAGCCCAGTGGCCGTCTGCGAGACAGCGAGACACAGTTTTTTAGTTTTTTATTTAGCCTTTATTTATACAGTGAAGCCCGAACACACACACCCGCAGCCTGGCTGGGAGTTTGTGTGTGTGCTCACACACCGACTCACAGCCTCGCCGCATCCCGCCGTCTCAGGGAGGAGAAATGGGCGGAGCTGCAGCTGAGAAAAGATTGAGTGTGAGTGCGTGTGTGTGTGTGTGTGTGAGGAAGTCTGCGGATTGGTCCAAATGTAAAAACTCTGCGGACGTAATGTAACGGCTCCACGGATTGGTCCACTTGGACCAATGGGTCCATTGGGTATGGGCACGTCACTGTACCCAGGAAGAAAAAGAGAAATGTCCAACGAGGCGTTCTGGGGCAGCACAGACAGGTCTTCTCTGTGTTAGAGTTTTACTCGTTACAGGGTGTACTTTCAGGGTTTGTGACTCTGCAGACCGTTTACATGCAGAACAACCTTCATAACACAAGGGGACGGGTAATAACCAGAAAAGCATGACATGGGACCTTTAAAGGTTTAAGTTAGTATACTCACCAGCGAGTCTCGTATGACTTCACTCTTGTAAAAATCTAAAAAGAAATCAAAGAATGCTGGTTAAAAGAAGGTATAAAACTCTCATGGACAACAAAACAGGTTCAATCTACACTGAAATACAATGTACTAAATGCTTTCGCAGAATGCAGGGGTGTTAGTGGTTCCTAGAGTCTCCAATGTCCTTCAGCAATCCATCGCCTCTTGCTGGAACCAGCTCTCACTGTGTGTTCAGGAGGAAGACCCCTTAGGGCTGGCTCAACTCGCCTTAAGCAATGTCGATGTACATTGTCTATGTTGTAATTCTATTGTGTTTTTACCATCATTAATGTTTGTTGAAATGTACAAACTGTAAAGCTCCCTGAGGCAAATGTATTGTGTCTAATTGATCAATATAAATACAATGTCACTTGATTTGAAAGCTCAGCTCAGCTTGAATATGTGAAAGCAAAGTGTCAGCAGATACACAAGGCAGTAACGCTAATGTCATCTTGATCCAAACACAGTAAGATCACCACAGTGACTTAATGGCATTATATGGAAATGTTCTTAATGAATGCTGTAAAGACTTCCAAAGAGCACGCTCACTGCGCCACTCCATAAAGTGTCATCTGATGACATGAGCTGCAGGAGACCTTTTCAAAAATAACTTAATAGGATCGGTACTAAACAAATATCTTTTGTAAAGTCTGTAGAATACTATTTGTAGGATGGAGTGTCTCTGCAGCCTCACAATACTTTATTCAAAATGGAATTGTAACTTGTATTTAGACTTTAACAAATATTGTGATTTGAATATTGCACAAGTTCATATTGCAATTTTGATGAAATGTAGAATAGTTGTGCAGCCGTAGCCGTAGATGCTACATGTTATTTACTAAATAATTGCGATAATAAACATTCTATTTAAGCATCACAAACTTAAAACAATTCAGATTGTCATATTTGTCCTTTCTTTTAACATGTAGTAGATACTTTTGTTCATATGGGGAGGACATGGCTCTCCTGATTTAGAGAGCATGGCAAAGAGAAACATGAAAGATGTAGTACATGTTGCCCCCAGCTCTCACAGAGGGGAGGGGCAGGGGATGCACACTGACCTCTAGAGATGCGCTCTCCTATACAGAGATGCAGGGTGAAGTAAGTGTCCAGCAGTGGGGAACCATTCTTGTTCACAATGTTCCGGGCCGCGATGCTCCGGAGATGACGCAATCGCCTCTGTTAGAAAAGAAGTAAGAAAGAGACAGAGAGAAAGTGAGGATATAAGGGCTGTATTTAGTTTCACTCTCATCGTGTGATGGCAAATACTATCTCTGCTGTTTTGAAGACACAGAAGACCGGTTCACAGCCTTTAGAGATCAAAGAAGTATATATATATATTAACATCATAAAATAGCAGTTCTTGATCATGCCTGCTGTCTGGTCTGCTAGATGTCAGCAGTTCAAAAAATAGAGGCATGACATCTTCATGGTAGAAAGAAGCAGGCAGTTAACTCTGCAGGCATGGTTAGTCATGAGAGTCACATGAGAAGGGGATCAACCTTTTTAGCGCTGCAATTATTCTGATCAAAAGAATTCATCCGAATGAAAGAGATGCCGAAAAAGCCATCATTCTTAGAACGGCGCTCCAGAACACAGCACAAAAAACAATGTTGAAGACAGCGTACCACAGTTAAGACAAGTAAAGACTTTAAAAGCTACACATCGTCATGAATCATTAGTACATCTCTAAACAAGAAGTCTGCATTGTTTGGATATGAATCCAAAGACGAGCTTTTTCAAATGTATTTGCAGTGGTCACTGCAATGGTTCAAATCTGTAGTAAAAAGATCTGGTGGCGAGTTCAGGCTTCAGGCTAACACGTCACCACTGCACAGATTCTGCCCTGCAGCCATACTGACACTAAATCCAAGTCATGGGACTCCCTACTGTAGAAGATTACGGGCCTCACCAACAGAAAGTCAGATTGTTCCACAAGAGACTTCAAAAAGGAAAGGGCTAATGTGGAGGCAGAGAGAAAAGGTTGTGAGGACATATTGTGAAACTACTCTGGTGAGCTGGGCTCTGCAGAGCAAAAGTACCCTGATATCAGAGTCCATATGACCCTAACATCCCGTTAGTCCCCGACATGTCAGACAGTGACTACATGATTACTGTGGCAAAGGGATCATGTGGTCACAAGCCTTCTGCTCATGTTAACCATGAACAGACTCCACACTTACAGGGCGAGCTAGATCAAACTCTTTCTTAAAATAGTCTCAGGAAGGGGATTCCTGAAATGGATAGAGCTGATAACAAATGCTACTAAAACTAATGAAGTTTAAAAAAGCCTACCTTTGTTGAGATGTGTTCAAAGTGAATTGAGGAAGTGTTGACTAAACTTTATGGTGTGTAGTCTGCAGGCTTTTATTCACTGGCATTCTGATATTTAGTCTAGTGTCAATAATATAACACTGTTTCACACGGCTGTAGTGAATACATAGAGAATTGAGCATAATATATGCTATATATGGCTAATATATCAAATGATGAGCACATTCAAGCTCTCCAACAGAAAGATCAAGTTTTATTTTCAAATGTGGCATCGTCTCAACAAAGAGGGACCACGTTGGCCAAAGTGCAACACAACAAAAAGCACACAAGCTAAATGACTAAGCAAGATGTGTGCAACTGGGTCACGGTTCCATGGCTGCCTTAGTCCAAAGGGAACTGTGTTCGGCATGCTCTTTGGTCATGGATACATGCAATAGGAAATAACACAAATGTATTATGTTTCAAATAGTAGTGAAGTATTTGGGAGTGCAAAGTCTTCATTGTTGCTTCAAAAAGAGAGCATTTGATTCTATATTGATGACATGTGCTGCATACCATCGATTATGCCATACATGTATCTGTTGGGAATAACAAATAACAGACTCTTATCCCAAAGTAGTGTATTCAATTAAATCAAAATATAATTCTATTACACAAAAGCTAAAAGTATTTTGTCAACAAAGCTGTGACATTTAAATGTGTTCAGAGACCACGCATCTAGAGCCAGCACTGTGTTTGCGTTTCACGTTGGTAAATCGGATTGCTGCACTTTTACATTTGTGGCCTTGTGTTTGTTTTCATGAACACACACAGTGTTCATACCACGTAAGAAAAGAAGGCACAAAACTCTACATGAAACGTCTCCCCTGAGCTCAGCCTTCAGTGGATATGCTGCTTCTGTCGGCCAGCATGACAAGGTTTCATTATGGAGCCAGAGAAGGGTCAATCCAAGCAACCTAATGTCATCTGAAAAGACAGATGTATTTGTTTCAGAGTGTAGCTGATGTGCCTTACCAGTGCAATCGTTGGATTAGTGCTGCTGGGAAATAGGATTTAGTGCTGCTCATATCAACAAAATGTTCATGCTGAAGTGCCTTGTAGAAACCCTAATGCCTTTATAATAATCACAACCCATTGTGTTGTGGTGGCTGCAGGACATTCAGTCCCATTTCCAAATCTCTAAATTGGAGCTATTTGATTGGCAAGACTCCACGTGGTCAGAGAGAAACCATGCACATTGTAATACGGGTGAACTGATCCTTGAAAATAAAGTGTGGTTGGAATGTGGCAGATTTGTGTTCCTGTGTTAATGCTACAATCATGTCTGAACATTTCAAATGGCATGTCAGATCTTCAAAGATTACCATTGATAATGTGTCTATTTTAATCTGGAATAAATGCAATATGTAAACTCTGGTTTACTCTGAACTCTTGACTTAGTTTGGAATTGAAACTGACACTAAGCATTTGTATCATATTGTCAATCTAATGCAAACTAAAAAGGTAGTCAAACACTGGTGCAAGACAAAACTTAATAGAGGACCTATTGTAAAATAAGTTAGACTTTACAAAAGTCACCTTGTGTTTACACTTTTGCTGTACATGTAGAGCAACATACTGTAAGGGTTCTCTACTGTATCATTGGATTAGTAATGATGACTCTAGTGGTCGTCTGATGTAGGTAAGTACAGTAACTTCCAAGAAAGTCCAAGAAGCACTTATAGTTGCTGGACTCACTGGATGAAGATCAGGGGTTTGCTCTTAAAACTGCACAATATGAAGACAAATATCCAACAACTTGGATAGCTAAAACCACTACAGTCTATATCTAACTACAACTGACATGACAGGGAATGAGAGGTGCCTGTGAGGGGCAGATTTAACAATCTGAGGCCGGTAGCCCTAATGAATGAACTGCCTACTGTTCTCATGTCATTTCCAAATGAATGAATGAATGGCTAGATTGATGGTTGTAAGATGAATTTCCTGAGCTTCCAAAGAGGCAACAATTAAATGTGTCCATGGTCTCACTTTTATAACACTTTAATAATCGAAATAACTGTATTAGACAATATAACCTCGCAGTGATGACACATGCCACCGTTTCCCTTTAACTGAGCTGACACCTGCGTGCTGACATAACGCTAAGTTAAGTTCCCATTGGCAGACTAGCTTCGTACACAATTAAACGTGTCGAATAATATGATTCCTTGAATATGGCAACACACGTAGAAATTCGGTCTTAAACACAATTCTAACTTGTGTTGGTGTGTCTTGGCTTGTAAGTCAAGTGCCATTAATTCCCAGTAACCTAGCTAACTGTAAGCTAGCAGTTGCTAGCTACCTAGCTAGCCTAACAGGCCTGCCGTGTTTTCCAGGCAGCAGTTGTAACTGACGTTGGAAACTACTATATAAGACATATACTCACAGTTGACCTGTTTCATTTAATGCGTTTCGTGTTAATATGACCTCAGAGGCTTTGCATTTACCTGCTGGGATGTCAGCTCTACATGTAAGGCTCGAGAGGATGAAGCTCCAGAGCTGGTGACAGAGGCGGCGGGGATGGCAAGAACCCGACCGGTGATGGAGTTCATCCTCCTGTCGGCATCTAGCGGGTCCCCCTCATTCAACAAAACATCACATCCAGGACACCCAGGACACTCGGTTTAAAGTTTATGAAGGTTCAGGCAACCAGCAAAGCCATGCAGTCAGGGTTGTGTGTGAGAGTAAAGCGCTACAACAACTGTCAGCTAACCAACGGGACGTAAACAAAGTACAGGCGATTTTGCTACACTTGGTTCGGAAATCCGTTTCCGAGTGGGAGGTACGATACTTAGGCTGCTGATTGGTTGATGCTGACGCCTGTCATGTAGAGGCGGTGCCTGCTACTGAAAACACAAGATACTATTGGTTATTTTATCTGTCCATCTTCCAGGTTGGGGCGGTTGTTCGTTGAAATATGTCAAAGCTGCAAAATATAAGGAAATTGCATAGTACAACGTGACATGCAGGTGACACTTAAATGGTAGCACCCAGATACATTTTTACATCTAATCGCAATTAGAGCTGGTACAAAAAGTGACACAAATTATTCAAATATAGTATAGTACAGTAGATAATATAGTATATTATAACATAATATACTATATTATCTACTGGCTTTCCCGGGGGCTTTTGTCAACTTTATGTAACTGATCTCATAGACAAACATTAGGTCATGTACCAAAAGGGGCACCTTCAGTTGCATTAGTCATTAGTGGGTTTGAAACATCGGATGTCAGAGTTGTGTTACCTAGTCTGAATATGCTCTATGAACCAGTCCACTAACATTATTATTGTTACCTAGCAGCTGGGGAAATAACACTTAGCCCTCCTGTTGTGTTCGGGTCAAATCTGACCGATTTACTACTTTCATTAATCATAACTTTTTTGTTTTACATTCGATTGCATTAAGGCTTTATGATATCCTTCACAGTAGACATTTGAACATATCAAATTGCTGATCACCCCTTTCATTGAATTTGGGATGATTTAGTCAACTTTGTAACACCCATGGTGTTCCCGGTCAAAAATGACCGCCATAAAGAAAAGGAATTAGTAACCATCCGGATCAGATAAAACACACGTGTACACACACACCCACAGACAGACAGACACACATAGTAGGCTTGTTTGAGACAAGCAAGACCTGCGCAGACCTGCGCAGTTGCGATCAACGTCTTGCTAGTGCGTTGCATGATGGTTAGTCATTTTGTCCGTCTTGCTCTGGAGGCCCGCCCACATGAGACTTTGAAATTTCGCGGGACAAAGACGCCCGCAGCCTTGAGAGCGAGGCGAGGCGAGTTGGCGCAGTTGCTCTCCACGGGCTGCGGAAGCGAAATGCTTGATGGGAAACGGCTCGCTGGTATCTCGAGCTGAGCGCATTGGTGGTTTTTACCACGTGCTGCTGATGAAACTCTCCAATTGGCTGGCAAAAGTTTGTTGTTGTTTTGTGTCAGTTTTACGTCGCCACATCCATTCCCATTTTTCATCATTGTTCCACAATGTTTATCATCATGAAATTAATATCTATATATTTTATACTATACTGCTTACCGTTTTCATACTTTATATATCTTAGCATATTCATACACACTGTTCATACTGCTCACAGGCTGATATCTAGTTTATTCATCATTCAATTCATTATATATGTTATTCTGTAGATTGTGTACATTACTTTCCACTTCACTGCTTGTTGCACCTGGTTAGAAGCTAAACTGCATTTCGTTGTCTCAGTACCTGTAATATGTGCAATAACAATAAAGTTTCTCTTTAAGTTAAACCAAATAATTAAAATAAAATCTATTGTAATGTAATGATTTGGTTTAACCTTATTTATTGAATACATCATTTAAAATGGCAAGATTAAATCAAATTACATCCATGTTGAACACATCATAAAGCTTAAAGTGGCAGCTAAAGAATTAACACAGCAGCAGGTCTGTTCAATTCATGCTCATTAAGCTTCATGTGTGCGGATCTGAAGGGACTGATCGTTTGTAGCCTGTCCACCTATCAGTTTTGCAAACATTAAGAGGGAGGAGCATTTCTAATTATGGAACCCAGTCACTGGTGTGGTTCATCGTCATGACTGAATTAACAAACCTATATAAAGCAATGGAGATCACCTTTGTCTACAGTGGGTAAAATGGAATTTGTGGTGCTTACACTGTGTGACGAACAGGGAGACATCACTGTAAGAGTCTCACAAGACATTTCCCAAAGACTACAAAATGGTGAGTAAACAACTAAATTGCATTCCAACAATCTGGATATGATTTTAAATGATGTAAATTATTTTTCAGATAACAGTTTAGCAGCTGCACTTATGCAGCAAGCAAGGGCTGCAACAAATGCACAAGGTAATCCATCATTTAAATCAAAAATGGTATTGTCTTTTAATGCAAATCAAACAAATGACATATTCATGTTTATTGTAAACAAATATTTAATTTTCTCTCAATCACAGTCCCTTTAGATCTGTCTTCAGATGCTAGGCCTGCTCCTCAAAGGCCTGCTCCTGATGAAAGACCTGCTCCTGACGAAAGGCCTGCTCCTGATGAAAGACCTGCTCCTGACGAAAGGCCTGCTCCTGACGAAAGGCCTGCTCCTGACGAAAGACCTGCTCCTGACGAAAGGCCTGCTCCTGATGAAAGACCTGCTCCTGACGAAAGGCCTGCTCCTGATGAAAGACCTGCTCCTGACGAAAGGCCTGCTCCTGATGAAAGACCTGCTCCTGACGAAAGACCTGCTCCTGATGAAAGACCTGCTCCTGATGAAAGACCTGCTCCTGACGAAAAGCCTGCTCCTGATGAAAGGCCTGCTCCTGATGAAAGGCCTGCTCCTGTAAGGCCTGCTCCTGTAAGGCCTGCTAGATCCCAAGCTGGCACTCCTCACCTGGCATCCCCCTCCAGCCGGTCAGAACACCTTGAGGCAACACAAGGTACAGTAACTAAAATGAGGATCTAAACAGCAAATGCTATTTGTTTGAGTTACTAACACTTGTGTCTTAACAGATGTCACACACAACACCATACTGCTGCTTTTGGACCTGACAAAAACACACCAACAGGTGTACTATCACTCCAAACCCGGTTTTTACAAAATTCTACAACGGCAGTTCAGCAAGGAGGGATACAGTTTCTCCTCAGACAAAATCCGGAAAAAACTCAACAACCTTTTGACCACCTACAAAAGGGCCAAGGACCGTTGTACCTCAACAGGAGAGGAGAACATAACGTGGGAATATTATGGGGTAAGAAGTTTGTTCTTGCACATCTAGTTGGTAAAAGCAACATTTCCATTTTAACAATTCTGCAATTCCACAGATAATGGACAACCTGTTTGGGAGGTGCGGTGTTGGGAGCGCACCTCCAGGCACTCTTGTTTCCACCCCTCTATTACCCACTGCCTCACAACCATCCACCACACTGCCGTGTGCCTCTGAGGCCCAGCCTGGTCCCTCCATGACCCTGCCCACCACACTGCCGTGTGCCTCTGAGGGCCAGCCTGGTCCCTCCATGACCCTGCCCACCACACTGCCGTGTGCCTCTGAGGGCCAGCCTGGTCCCTCCATGACCCTGCCCACCACACTGCCGTGTGCCTCTGAGGGCCAGCCTGGTCCCTCCATGACCCTGCCCACCACTCAGCCGAGATCAATCCGGTCTCGAGTCTCCCATCCCTCCTTCTACGACCTGTATGAGGCCCACTCGGAGAGGAGGACCAGTGCACTGGAGACACTGGTGCGGCCAGAACAGGAGCGCCGGAGGAGGTTTGAAGCTAAAATGTTGACTGCGATGGGAGAAGTTGTTTCCCAGTTAAAGTCCATTGGGAGCCAACAAGAGCGCATCATTGAGCTTTTGCAGGACAAGCCCAATATGCCATAATTTCCCCCACACTGGGTATTCCCTGAATTAATTTGTTTATAAAGAACACCACCTCAGTTTGTTTATGGAAGTAATATTGTTTAGATTAGTTATTTATTTTCCTCGTTATGCAGTTGAGTTATTATTTCATCCCTGGCAATTGCCTTGTAATATTTGTATTTAAGTGTTCACAATGTTTATATGCAATTATTATTTATTTGCCAAGTACATGTGTACATATGTATATATAGTTATTTCATTTTCAAAGAAGATAGTCAACTGCTATTGACATGTGCAGAAAATGACCATATCTAGTTTTCATATATATGCATTTATTTTTTACTTGCCCAATCATTTTGGATGACATTACATGTTACTTGTTAGGCGCTTTAATCCAAAGCGACTTACATACTCAATACTGTGGGCATAAAAGGAAAGGAAATAAAAAACAAATGTCTTCCACAAAGAATATGACAGTGGTTATTTGTAGGGGGGGGGGGGGGGTGTGTGTGTGAGCTCTTTAAAAAAGGTCACAAATCTGATTTCTGTGCAACACTGCATCTTGGTTCTGGGGATGCGGTGCCCTGTTATCTGCTGCTTCAACCTGCTCATCAACTTCAATTGCTTCCCCTTCCTCCAAGCACATGTTGTGAAGTATGCAACAGGCAGTGACTGCTGTGCTAATGTTTGCAATGTTTTTCATGTACAAACATTTGAGCCTCCTGAACTTCGTTTTCAGTAGGCCAAAGGTATGCTCAATGACCACGCGTGCAACATTTAATTTTTGATTGAAACGACGCTGCCGAGCAGTTAAATGGCCATTGTCCCTGTATGGCCTCATAAGCTGAGGCAATAGTGGGTAGGCAGAGTCCCCAATGATGTGTATTCCCTCAGGCACCAGGGACTGGGGATCTTCATCAAGCAGCCTTCCAACAGCAGACAACCGGAATGCCCGTGCATCATGCCAGCTACCAGGGTGGCCCACATTAACATGACAGAATCTCCGTTTACTGTCACAGAACCCAGTAAGCACAACAGAATAAAACTGTTTTCTGTTGATGTATGCTACTGGGTTCTCACAGTGTGGTTTCACAATAGGAATGTGGCATCCATCTACCGCACAGACAGTGTTGGGAAATCCTGCTGCACGAAATCCTAACTCAGAATTATGTAGGGCTTGCCCTGTGGGCCAGGAAATGTGGTGAGACAAATACGTGGTGACAAGACTACAGAATTCATGGAGATGCAGGCAGACAGTGGATTTGGTGATATTGAAACGATCAGCAACCCCCCTATAGGACTCCTGGTTTGATAGAGTCCACAGACAGGCAAGAACACTGTTTTGAAGCGGCACTTTACTGTGCTGTCTGTTCCAGTAGAACGGGCCAATAGTCGTCATCACATCCTGTTTGGTAGAAAGGAATAAATGGCTTTTAATATCACCAGTCCAGATAATACATATTTGATGTTATTTATATATATATATATACACACACATACTTCCACATGTCCCCTGGACAATCGGAAATGACTTTTGAAGTCTGAAGGACTGTACTGTGGGACCACTTCTTCCACAAATTGTTGGACCTTTGGAACGGATCTAAGGAAGGCAGACACAGGAGCAAATGATGACCATAAATCATTAGACCTATTCAACATTCTTTATATATATATAACTGCTGCTGCTGCTGTAGGCCTATATTATCTTCACTTGATTTCAGTTGTATTCTTGTTTATTTATTGTATCTTTGTACTACTATCTTGCTTGCTTTCTATATCTTTAGTAAAGTAGCTTTTATCTTATCCCATTGGACTAAAAAAGACTAATAGTGTCATCATTTTGCACAATTTGTGATCTGTAGAGTAAAGTAATCAGTCCGGATAATCGATCATACTTTTTAATTTAGACTGATGCAACAATATATTGTGTCTTTTTACTTGTGTATTGTATTGTGTATCTGTTTTTGTTACCTGCCTAGGTAGCCTACTACGGATGTAAATTAGCACGTTTGCTCAAACACATTTATACTTCTTGTATTTTATACTGATGTTCATTAACATGCTCTGTCCCTATCAAATTAAAAAATAAAAATATACGTAATTACCTCCGCAGACGGTGTTCATCATGCCATTCTCCATACAATACAAAACGCCAACGCAATTTCCGCCATTGCAAACCCAGCCAGTCAAGCCGACTCCGACTCCGAGCTGTCCGACTTAAGACGAGCTTTTTGACACCTCACCCGGCTGCGATCGGCTACTCTCGTCTACTTTCGAGGCGAGCCGCAATGTGTCTCAAACAAGCCTACTATGTGTGTCTGTCTGTCTGTGGGTGTGTGTGTACACGTGTGTTTTATCTGATCCGGATGGTTACTAATTCCTTTTCTTTATGGCGGTCATTTTTTACCGGGAACACCATGGGTGTTACAAATGTGTCTCTGAAGTGCCTCCTGTAACAAGAGATCATTTGAGGCAGAGCAGTGGACAAAGACATAAGGAAAGTCAGATACTTCTTACTTTGTTTGTTAAAGGTGTCATTTTATCTTCAAATGTTACATGCGTCTTTCAAGTCTGTCATTAGTGTTACTCATTGCAGCCCTAGGGGTGAACATTTGAATGGGAAAATGTATTGTATTGAAGAGTTAAACGATTTTGATATTGACTGAAGCCATATTTGGTCTGACACATTGCAGCCATTTTGTTAAAATGGTAGTGTTCTCTCCAAATTGTCACTGGTGTTACCGTCACTGGTGTTACTCTTCTTCCTGGTAACACGTAACACCAGTGACATTCCTATACAAATAAGCTTTGTATAAAGTATAAAAAAATTAATTAAAAAATAATAATACTTTAAGCTCTAGGCCTACTTGTTGTGGATTCATCAAGTTAAGAGTTAGTTATTGCTATTTAACAGGTTTTAGATGTTTTTAGAAGGAATATATTTCAGCAGATTTGTATCACCCAGATTCCACCTTTTCTTTACTGACCCATCTGATTTTAATTAGGCCTACATTTTTTAGCCAATCAAAATGCAGATCCTGCAGTATTGGAGGCGGGCTTTACTGCACTCGCGATGTGACAGTGAAGGGAGAGATCTGCTTCCGATTGGCAGAAATATAACTCAGATAAAACCGTAATAACTCAATATAATGTTGTCAAATCAAAACGGTAACAATTTGCAATTGTATATGTGTATGTGAGAAGGCCTGCTCCCGGAAAGCTGGCTACTGGCACAGAAGGACTCCCGAATTTGGTGATTCGCGGTAAAGAAATAAACGAGAGAAAGTGCATCTCTGTCAGCAGAGCTTCTGTCAGTCAGAGGCAGTGGTGTAGTGGGCGTTGGACGCGGGGGTACGCCGTACCCCCACTTATTTGGAGCATGATCTTTTTTTTAAGTCTAATAAATATAAAATCATTGCCAGTGTTATCAGTTGCAAGTGTGTATTTGTTGTAATAATGACGAAAACATAATACATTTCACAGTAATTATAATAAAACATAAAAACGATTTCCTTAAAAAAGTATGAATCATCATCACGCTCGTGACCCCGCGGTCACTGACACACCCACGGTGAGCCAGCTCGCCGCGCCCGCCGATTTTGCGGCAGCTCTTTCCCTCAAGAACACTAACGAAAAAGCTCTATAATGGCAGGCTAATATGTTTTGCTTGACTTATTTTCTAAAATGAAAATAATTCACAAGAAGAAAGAGGCTAGCAGCACCGAAGCTACAAGTGAAGCTGCTAGTAATACATCATCAGAAGAGCCGCCTAAAGACGTGGATAATGCTATAGCTAACGTGCACTTAGCTGTGCTAGCAACGTTCCCCTGACTAGCTCAAGCTCACCTTTCCCAGAGGTATGGACGGAGGAGATGTGGCGGAGGAAACAAGAGGAATACCCGTGGATAGACTGCAAAGCTGGGAAACTGGGCTGCAGAGTTTGTTCATCCAATTCGGATTTATCAGTCTTCAAAACCCAAGGTGTGTGTGTGTGTGTGTGTGTGTGTGTGTGTGTGTGTGTGTGTGTGTGTGTGTGTGTGTGTGTGTGTGTGTGTGTGTGTGTGTGTGTGTGAAAAGCAGCGCTGTCTGCTTATTTGCAATAGGCTAGGCCTAATCAGAATAATGTCCAGTCCAGATTCAATGTTGTTTGCATAAGTATGGCTACATTTTGTTATGAGCTTTAAATAGATGAGAGAGAGAGAGAGAGAGAGAGAGAGAGAGAGAGAGAGAGAGAGAGAGAGAGAGAGAGAGAGAGAGAGAGAGAGAGAGAGAGAGAGAGCTTAGTTGCAATACTGTAGCTTATGCAATTTAGGCCTATAAATTGTTTATGTAACTTATGTGCCAGTGTGTCCATGGTTTTGAGTCTGTGTGTGTGTTGAGCGCAGCGCCGTCTGCTTTTTGCAGTACAGTAACTAAAGTAGGACTAACGGTGTGTCCACACAGCAGCTTTGACCAAATCTTGAAAATCCTGGAGCTGGGCGTGTCTGACAGCTTGGGGATTTCGCGACCAACAACCAATCACATGAATATCCCGCCCCCGACATACAAAGCAAAAAAACCCGGTTCTTCTACACTATTGTCAAATAGGAAGGGCTATGATGAACATTAATTTTTTTAACATTTTGAACATTTATGAGATTAATGTTTATGGTGCTATTTTATGCTACATTCCATGCTGGCTAATGATACTGTCTATGCTTGCTAGCAACGAAGTAAACTAGCAACGAAGTAAACTGGATATAAAATCCCCAAACAAGCGAAAACCTACCAGTTTCACCCACTGCCTCTGCCACCTCCCTCCATGCCTGGTTCCTCCGGTTTGTATCCCGGTAAGTAAATAGGGACTGGTCATAAAGAACCGGGTGATTTGCTACCGCAATAACTAACTTCTCCTCCATTTTTGTGGAATATAGAAATTAACTGCGGGTCTGGTTCTCCCAGCTTGCACGCGGTTTGATTGGCTAGCGCTTGAACTGTCAGATTTGCATAAACGGATCTGATTGGCTGTCGCTTCCAGCTCAGCCTCAAAAGTTGAACATTGTTCAACTTTGGAATCCTGAACATCCTGGAAATCCTGGAAATCTTCGCCTCGCCCCCCCACAATGCAATTCGGCGACAAGCGAGGGAAAGTGACGTCATCCCCATTCAAAGTCAATGGGCGGAGACGCGCTGGAAGCAGTGGACAAATCGCCAAAAGCTGCTGTGTGGACGGGCCGTAAGCATACCGGTAGTTTCTGTGGACCTGTCTGCGCGTTATGCGCACTTGTGTGGCATTGTTTGGGATGACCAGTGGTGTAGTGGGGATTTTTTTACTGGGGGGACGCTATTTTAATTAGGTCATCCCAAACAATGCCACACAAGTGCGCACGCGCGCAGTGCACTCACAAAACGGGCAGACAGGTCCACAGAAACTACCGGTATGCTAGTCCTACTTTAGTTACTGTACTTCAAAAAGCAGACGGCGTTGCGCTCAACACACACACAGACTCCAAACCATGGATACACTGGCACATAAATTACAACAATTTATAGGCCTAAATTGCATAAACTACAACTAAGCAGACAACGCTGCTTCTCTCTATCTCCACTTTCAAAATCTATTTAAAACTCATAACAAACAAACTAAATTCCCAAAGTTGTCCTGAAATTAACTTATTAAATAAACGAAACGAAAAATATAGCCTACTTATGCCAACAACATTGAATCTGGACTTGAAATTATTCTGATTAGGCCTAGCCACACACACACACACACACACACACACACACACACACACACACACACACACACACACACACACACACACACACACACACACACACACACACACACACACACACACACACACACACACACACACACACACACACACACACACACACACACCTTGCGTTTTGAAGACTGGTCAATCCGAAATGGATGAACAGCAGCCCAGTTTCCCAGCTTTGCAGTCTATCCACGGGTAGCCTCTTGTTTCCTCCGCCACATCTCCTCCGTCCATACCTCTGGGAAAGGTGAACTTGAGCTAGCCAGGGGAACGTTGCTAGCGTAGCTAACGTGCACTTTAGCTAGCATTATCCACGTCTTTAGGCGGCTCTTCTGATGATGTAGTACTAGTAGCAGCTTCACTTGTAGCTTCGGTGCTGCTAGCTTCTTTCTTCTTGTGAATTATATTCTTTTTAGAAAAGTCAAGTAAAAAAACGTTTACCTTCCATTATAGAGCTTTTTCGTTAGCGTTCTTGAGGGAAAGAGCTGCCGCAAATCGGCGGGCGGTGAGCTGGGGGTGTGTCACTGACACACCCCTAGCTCGCTGCGGGGTCACCAGCGTGATGACGAATCATCATTTTTGAAGGAAATCGTTTTTATTTTTTATTATAGGCCATTACTGTGATATGTATTATGTTTTTGTCATTATTACAACAAATACACACTTGCAACTGATAAGACTGGCAATGATTTTATATTTATTAGACTATTACAAAAAAGATCATGCTCCAAATAAGTGGGTATACGGCGTACCCCCGCGTCCAACGCCCACTACACCACTGGGGATGACCTAATTAAAATAGCGTCCCCCCAGTAAAAAAATCCCCACTACACTACACCACTGATCAGAGGGTTAGGTAAAAGTTTAGATGTCATGCGAGGAGAATTAACAAAAATACTGTAGTGCCGAGAGATATGGGAGTCGGAGGCGGTGCATCGAAGGTGCAAAGCTGTATTTAATGAGCAACAGAAATGCAGGTGTTGTCGGGTCGCAGCCCAGGACGACAAGAGAAAGAGCCAGGAGGGCACACAACATATAAAGGTAACACACAACATGTCCGTGTGAAAACAATAGCCCCCACTGTAGTTCCAAGATTGGATTATGTCCCAGTGGTTAATAGGTGGCCACCACACAAGCCCCCCCAGAATACAAACATGGCAAACAAAACAAAAAAAATATCCCCACGTCCGTAGAGGAAACACCACAAGGGCCGAGGAGGGTGGGGCCGCAGGTGAGGACCGGGCCATGGAACGAGCCACGAAAGCGTGGGCGACGTCCGAAGCCGCTGTCGAGGCGAGGGGAGACGTTAGCTGCT